AAAAATTGCTCTGGGAAGCGACAATTTTAATGACGCGGAGGAAGTATTTTCATTTGCTGTCTGTCTGTGTGCCTGTCTGTCTGTCTCTAAGATCATTAGCCATACCGTAAAGTCTTGTATAAAAGCCGCGGCTTCTACTTTTTCTTGGTGAAATTTTGCAGGCTTCTTTATGAGACAGGCTTTCTATACAAGACAGGTATTTCTATGTATGTCAACACTAAAACCAGGCTTATGTGTAATTTGATGGGCCCAAAATTGCGGCTTCTATTCAAGTACGGCTTTTATACAAGACTTTACGGTATGTATTACCTGCTAAGCTTTACTTCAGAAAAGCGCGAACTCCCACGTAGTGAGCAACACAATTCCCCTAAACTTTACTTCAATTAATCTACGTGTGCTGTATTGTGTGTGTGTGTGCGTGTGTGTGTGTGTGTGTGTGTGTGTGTGTGTGTGTGTGTGTGTGTGTGTGTGCATGCGCGCGCGTATACAGGATGACATGGGATACTTTCGCCGTCGCATGGTGTACGAGATTCTCAGCAAGAAGCTCATGGTGTGATGCGGATGTGCGTGCGTATCCACCTTGTCCGTCACGGAGAGCACTTCTAGCTTGAGCCTTTCTCTATGACTGGGTAAGCATTCACCGCAGCTTGAAACAATGGCCGCAGAGTCACTGGCCGTACAGTCTAAGACGGCTCGACTGTGCTGTGCATATGACCAATATCCTGCCCACTCGTCCAGCCTGGATTCCGCTCGGCTGCCTGAAGTGTGTGTATGTGTGTAGCTGAGTGATTCAGTGCTGCCAGCGCGTGTGAAAGAGTCCGCAGTGTCAGCAGGTGTGTGGCTGAAAGAGTCAGTGCTGCCATCTCCGTCGTAACCTTGGTCACCACCTGCTGCTGCTGCACAAGCAATGCCAGTGCAGTGTGCCTGCAATAGGATGACTCTCAGCTGGCACTGCACCGGCGCAGTGTTCTTGCTGCAGCAGTGACGACACTCACTGCCAACACCAACACCACCAGCAGCAGCACCAGCAGCAGCACAGCACTGAGCAGCATTGACTACAGCGAAAGCTATCCAGCAGCCAATACCTCCGTCCGTGGAGCATCGACTGCAGTGAAAACCAGCCAACAGCCAACATCGCCATCCGTGTAGCATTGACTACAGTGAAAGCTAGCCAGCACTGCCAATATCGCCATTCGAGTAGCAGCCGCCTTCATGTTTTTAATGAGATGTACATCGAGACGGACGTATTGCCAGCGTGCACCGGCCAACTAGCCACTTGTTGGCACGTCACTGGAACACAGAGCACCTTGGGGTCCCCCCCCCCCCCCCCGCGGGGTTCTAGTCGCGTGTCAGTCATTGATTGCATTGGTCACCAAGTGTGTGCATGCGTGTGTGTGTGTGTGTGTGTCTGTGTGTGTGTGTGTGTGTGTGTGTGTGTGTGTGTGTGTGTGTCTGTGTGTGTGTGTGTGTGTGTGTGTCTGTGTGTGTGTGTGTGTTACTGTGTACATGATGTAGACTCTAGCCATCTGCAGACCAACCAACTATCACCTCCAACTTCTCTTTGCCAGTTGTTTTTACTTACTTACTTGAAGTACCTTTTTTTTTACTGTTCCATACATACCTACTACTACGATGCTGGTGCTGCTGCTGCTGCTGGTGGTGTAGCTAGCTACATGACTGTACAGTGCTGCTCAATGAAATCCAGTCGCCAGAGTCAAGTTGGCGCCGTGCACCTGTTCGCAGGTCTAGGCTGCGCAACGCCTGGTGCCGGCACGTACTTGAGAAACTCGACTGGATGTTGTTGACCGATGCTGTACGTGTCAGGGGCATAGCAGGCGGTCCAGCTGGTCAGACGTCAGTCCTTGGCCGGGTCACTTTTTCGCCCGACCACGAAAAACGTGCCCAGACAGCAGGATTTTGCACCGTATTTTGAAGTATTTTCAATTTTTCCCCTGGGGACGTACACCCCCGACCCCCTCCTGCCGGACCACCTCCGACGGCGGTGCTACGCGCTTTCGTGTAGCCACACACTCACTGACTCAGTCGGACCATTGTTATTAGCAAGAGTACATAACCTATGTACTCTTGTTATTAGGCTAGGGCCTGTTTTGGACTTCCCACTCTAAATAAAGAATACAAACAAACAAACAACTGTACACTCTGTACACACTGCGCTCGCTGCTGCTGCCGAGTGTTCCGACCTCGTCAACACTGCTAGCACCACGTTTGAGTACACAGAACAGTGGGTGTGGGTGTGTGTATTAGTAGTAGTGCAGGGGGGGGGGGGGGGGGCTGTGTATTGCCCTGCGCTATTTTATTCATGAGGCTGGATTTCCCTTCCAGGCTGGCCAGAGTGGTACTTCACCACCAACAGCACAGTGGTAGAAGCAGCAGCACAAGCAAATGTGTGCCGCCAAGAGTACTCTTGGTGCCGCCATTATATGGCTATGCGGCGCTCAACACTGCACAGGCAATGGCCCTGGTTGCAGGCTTGCAGGTTGGTGACTCTGATCCCCCATTGCCTAGCGGCATGAACACTCATCTTGTTACTGGTTTTGTTCTCTTTTTGGGTGTTTATTTTTTACTTTGCTCCTCTGGGATTTTTTTGATTTTTTAAACATTTCTCCACTGAGTGCAATAATCAGTGTCCAGTGCAGTGGTGTCAGTTCTATCCAGAGTACATAACCCATGTACTCTTGGTTCTATCAAGAGTACATGGTTATGTACTCTTGCCTTCTTGGTTCTATCCAGACGTGTCAATAATCGTGTCAATAATCTCCTTTATATAGTGACGTGAACATTGCTCATAAATTCATAATAGAAGTCAGGGAGTCGTCAAATACGTAGTCTTCATTTGACGACTCCTTGGTCTGTAGACTCGAGAGTCTACATGCAACTACTTTTCGATGTTGACAGCATGTTACAAGGCGAGGACGCATAATGCTCCTGACTACAACCATAACCCGGTTGACAGAGTCCCGGTCTTGCGACCATTTCAACCAGGGAGTAGTACAATACTATATAATATATAGTACAGTATTGTACTACTCCCTGATTTCAACCGTATTGGGAAAACCCAGGTTCGGACCCTCTTTACTTTAGGGGTTCGGCTTTTCGTTATTCACTTCGCCTCCGTGTCTCTCTATGTTTTCGACAAAACAGTTCCCTCCTTGCAAATCCTTGTTGCGAATTTCTGCAACGGCTTTGATTGGGCGCACGTAGATACAGTACTACAGTTGTAAGATAGTCATTGACCTGACTACAATACAGGTGTACAGTGGATCAACTGAGCGACACTATAACTACAAGTCGGACATGAACATCGAGTCAAGGCGTTAGCATCGCTTGAATGTTCAGAAACACACAAGCTATCCTTCGCTTCCGCAGGCCACCACTATGGCACTATGCCTTTTCACCTTACGTCCTTAGTGCCAAATAGTGGCAGATGCAGACCTCACAAGTGAGTCAGGGGGGGAGCTCGAGAGGAGGTGAGCCTGTAAGTTACAAAAACTGCATCCTTGTGATCCCTCCGAGCTGTACGTAGACCCGGGTGCTCGAATGAGAGACAGGGTACCAAAACAGAAACAACCTGAAATTGTACCTAAACTTATTCCCATTTCGTTTAATTTTCACAAATACCATCAACATACGGCCCGCTAACGGTATGCCAAATTTCAGCGCTGCCCGGTAAACGATTTTCGAAATACTCGCGACCAGGGATCGGGAGTCGTATAGACCAGGGAGTCGTAGACCCGGGTGCTCGAATCAGAAACGATTTGACAGGTGTGCAATTTCTCACCTGTAAATCTCAACAATGTCAGAATATACTTTTGGAGAGGCGATGGAACAGGGAAGAGAGTCTGGCTTGACCCACCCAGCAGGAATTCAGAACCTGGGTGCGCTACAACACAAGCTACAGTACGCAGTAAAATTGTCGTATTTCCTTCGGATTTTTTATTTGAAAATTGGGTGCTCGAATCAGAAACAGCGAACTCGTCAGATCGTCTCCGATTCAAGCACACGGGTCTGCCATCGTCTACGCTTGGTGTGGCAGTTGAGGGCAGGGAGTAGTAACTTACTACTTCATTTTTGAGAGCAAGATGGTCAGTGGAGCCGCAGATTCAGCAGGTCTTTGACAGCACCGTACAGGAGACCCATATCCTCGAATCAAGGACCCAGCAAAAAGTGGGTCGCGAGTATTTCAAAAAGTGTTTACCGGGCAGCGCTGAAATTTGGCATACCGTTAGCAGGCCGTATGTTGATGGTATTTGTGAAAACTAAACGAAATCGGAACAAGTTTAGGTACAATTTCAGGGTGTTTCTGTTTTGGTACCCTGTGTCTCATTCGAGCACCCGGGTCTACGACTCCCTGGTATAGACCCCTTCTCGCGACCCACTTTTTGCTGGGTCCTTGATTCGAGGATGTGGGTCTCCTGTACGGTGCTGCCAAAGACCTGCTGAATCTGCGGCTCCACTGACCATCTTGCTCTCAAAAACGAAGTAGTAAGTAATTAGTTACTACTCCCTGCCCTCAACTGCCACACCAAGCGTAGACGATGGTAGACCCGTGTGCTTGAATCGGAGACGATCTGACGAGTTTGCTGTTTCTGATTCGAGCACCCAATTATTTTCAAATAAAAAATCAGAAGGAAATACGACTATTTTACTGCGCACTGTAGCTTGTGTTGTAGCGCACCCAGGTTCTGGGTGGGTCAAGCCAGACTCCCTTCCCTGTTCCATCGCCTCTCCAAAAGTATATTCTGACGTTGTTGAGATTTACAGATGAGAAATTTCACACGTGTCAAATCGTTTCTGATTCGAGCACCCGGCGGGTCTACGTAGCTACTTCAACACGCGTAAAAAGTCTTTTTACACGCTCCCTTGGCCCTGCTACACAGTACACTGTACCAGCGCGGGTCTCGAACTCGGGACCTCATGATTCGCAGGCAGGCCTGCAAACCAATCGGCCATATGCGCTGGTTGTTATCTGCTGATCTAAGAACTCGTGAACGAGTACGGAGTATACCTGGTATACCGACACTCGTGCCGTGGAGAGGTCTACAGTCAGACCTCGCATAACCGCACACATCCGTTTTCCACAAAAATATCCGGATAGGCGAGGGAACCGGATAATCGAACACACACACTGTATGTATGCATGGCATATGCTGTAAATCGGTGACCAGCAATTTTCTTCCGGATAAAAGAGGACCGGATAAACGAGGTCTGACTGTACTAGTAGACCTCTCCACGGCACGAGTGTCGGTGGCAGGGAGCCCCATCCCACATACATTGGTATGCGTAGGCCATAGGGCCGCCTGGTCGGTGGTCGACTCGGGTGCCTGGCCCTGGGGTCGAGTCTCGTCGTGTGCTGTCAAGCCAGACTCCCTTCCCTGTTCCATCGCCTCTCCAAAAGTATATTCTGACGTTGTTGAGATTTACAGATGAGAAATTTCACACGTGTCAAATCGTTTCTGATTCGAGCACCCGGCCGGGTCTACGTCGGCGCAGTTCAACACGCGGAAAAAGTCTTTTTACACGCTCCCTGCTACACAGTACACTGTACCAGCGCGGGTCTCGAACTGGGGACCTCATGATTCGCAAGCAGGCCTGCAAACCAATCGGCCATATGCGTTGGTTGTTATCAAGAGTACATAACCCAAGACTACATACATGTAACCCCCCAGAGTGTGCAACTCCACTATGGGTGCTGTCCCGACAGAATTTCAAGTTGACGTCATTTTGATGATGCAATGCGCACTGTACACGGATTATCAGACGAATCCGGAACCTGTGGTTGACCGAAGCCGATCGATCCTGTACAAATTAGGGAGGTTTAGTCCCACGTAATCCGTGGGTACTTTACGTGGGTGTACCACGTGATACTCAGTGACCCACGTACAGACGTTTTCTGATTCACGACATGCCGTGTATGGAGGCTCACCCACGTTCCGCCAGAACGTGGGTGAAAATCAGAATGGAGCGCATTGTGCAAGCTGTGAGGGTGCTCAGCTGAAGAAGTTTCCGAAGCACGAAATCAAAATATTCGATGAGCTTCTTAGGCCCGGGTAGCTTCGTCTTTGACCAGGTTTGGGCCTTTCGCTTTATGCTTTTGTTTGTTCCGTGTGACTAAACACAACATTGCAACGTGGGTGCCCTTCATCCACTTTACGTGGATCACCCACGTACGCGTTTCCGTTACGTGGGAACTAAACCTCCCTATTATTGCAAAGAAAAACGTGTGATGCGTTGACACCCGTACACATGTTGTAAATCACTGGTCCAAGGAGCATTGCGTCATAAATAATGACGTCAACTTGAAATTCTGTCGGGACAGCAGGGCATGTGGGAGTTGCACACCCTGGGGGTTATGTACTCTTGTTGTTATCTGCTGATCTAACAACTCGTGAACGAGTAGACCTCTCTACGAGTGTCGGTGGCAGGGAGCCCCATCCCACATACATTGGTATGCGTAGGCCATAGGGCCGCCTGGTCGGTGGTCGACTCGGGTGCCTGGCCCTGGGGTCGAGTCTCGTCGTGTGCTGGGGTTCGTTTCGCCCGAATCAAGGGCAGTTGGTTCGTTAGCAACTGCCCTTAGTTGAATCTGCTTGATTCGTGCGAAACGAACCCCGATTGCAGCACACGAGACTCGAACCCAGGCACCCGAGTCGACCACCGACCAGGCGGCCCTACGCATACCAATGGCAATGTATGTAGGGCTCCCTGCCACCGACTCGTACGATCGTAGAGATCGAGAGGTCTACTCGTTCACGAGTTGCTCAAACTCTCTAATATTATACATTGCACGGCATTTCGATACCCAACTCAACAATTCCAGCGCACAGACAGGTCCACAATTTGACGGCCCTCCGCGGCCACTGTCAAACCCAATTACTTGCACTGAAGTTGCTAAAAGCCTGATGAAACTCAACAACGGACGAGCATCTGGAGAAGATGATACCCCAGCTGAATTGCTCAAGTATGGAGGAGACGCCATGGCTTCTACCCTTTCCTCAGTTATCAATGGTATATTTAGCCATCATCAGTCAGTGAAAGTAGGTGGAGGAATCCTCATCCCACTTCAAAAGCCCAATAAACCTCTTGGACCACCGTCCAATCTCCGGCCCATAGTGCTACTTACATCGCTCAGGAAAGCACTATCGCTCATAACCCTTGCAAGGATCAGACCGAAAGTGGGGGAGTTTCTAGCTGAGACCCATAGCGGCTTCCGGAGTGGACGGTCAACGTCCGATGTCGTATGGGCGCACAAATGGCTGGCTGCCAAAGCCCAACGCTTTCACTGGGACATTCACATCCTCGGAATTGACCTATCAAAGGCATTTTGACACTAGTGAGGTTTTGCATTCCGAATTTCGGTTCGGCGCTCTTCGGTCATTTGTCGAACATCAAAATGTCGAATTTTCGCACCAACGTTTGTTTTGCAAGTCGAAAATGATGTGTTTTCATTTCGTGAGCCCTAGCATCAGCAACGTCCTGTCCCGTGCTCCTATTCTTGCTGATTCCAACGAACTTTGATCGCCCTAAGAGCCGAGGGCCAGACCTGTCTCCTCAGTCGCCTCAGAAAAACCAACTCCATGGCCAAGTCAAATTTTATGAGTATCGCCATAGTCTTTTCAGCCACACAGATGACGGTGAGGACACTCCAGGCGAAAGAGAGTAGACAAGCAATGGAGGAGCAATCAGAGGTAGCTGACGACGCTGATGTCGCCAAAGACGCCTGGGAAGCGATGCCGAGATAAGAAATCTCTTTGAATAAATCACGCGCTGGCGCTCTTCTACAGAAAATTCATCCGAAAAAATTAATATTTTCGGCAAAGTGAGCTTTTTCCGAACAAACATGCCGAATCTTCGCGTGCATTTTCGACCTCGCTCCCGCGTGCCGAATCTTTTTGCCGAATTTCGGAATGCAAAACCTCGCTACTATCAGACGTGACCAACTGATGAGTGTACTAAAGGAAGTCGTGAACGAGGATGAACTGCGTCTGATACAATACCTACTCTTGGGAACAAAGCTCCATGTCCGCCTTGGGAAAACGTCATCACCAACATTTCCGACAACTATTGGCACACCGCAGGGTGACTCCTTGTCACCGGTCCTGTTCACGCCGTAAAGTCGCGGATGAAAGCCGGGTTTGCATACAAGCACATCGCGGATAGAAGCCTGAAAATCAAACGGCTCAAATGCATATAAGCCTGTCGCGCGTAGAAGCCTGGCTTCCATGCAAGCGCGGATCGGGTAGGTCAAGAGTGCATGCGCTATGTACAATGCATAGTAAAACTGCCGCCATACCGGTAGTCAGTGGTAGATCTACGCGTGTCGCGCGTAGCAGCCTGGCTTCTATGCAAGCCCGGATCGGCCGATGTGCATACAAGCCTGGCAAAAATATCAGTGGTGCATATAAGCATGGTTTGCATACAAGCCTGGTTTGCATTGAAGCCTGATGCAGAAAGCGGCTTATGTGCTTATAAGCCCGGGTTTTATCCGCGACTTTACGGTATCTGGAAGCAGCGTTGCGGCAACTGAGAAAGGAAGCAGCCCCCAGACCCCATGCTGATCTTCACCTGCCGCTTGAGCTAATCTATGCTGACGACGCAGATTTTGTGAGCACCAGTCGGCGGTGGCTCTCCTAGCTAGAAGCTACGGCGAGTTCTACCCTGGTGCAATGGTCGCTCAACATGAATCATGACAAAACGGAGTACACAGAAATCACTAGACTCAATGATCGCAATAAAGAAGAATGGAGATCAACACGAAAACTTGGAAGTCTGATTGGTGATGATGAGGATGTGCTGAGGAGGAAGCAACTGGCGACAGCTGCCTTTCGGGGCCTGTGGAACCTCTGGAAACGAGGCCAGCAGGTCAGCGAAAAGCTTCGGCTATACCAAGCCTTCATCAGCCCTGTACTGCTGTACAACTCTGGTACGTGGGCGGTTACCAAGTCAGCTCAGGAGCGACTGGACTCCTTCCATCGGCGTCAACTGAGGTCGCTTATAGGCATCAGGTGGCCTCAGACGATATCGAACAACGCACTATACGCCCGATGTGAAAGCCAGCCGATCAGTCACACCATCAAGATATTGCGATGGAAGCTATTCGGACATGTCCTCCGTCTGTCCGACAGCACACCAGCCGTCCAGGCAATGGTCAGCTACTACACCAGCAAGGACCTCAAGGGCTGGAGAGGACGGCCGAGGACCAGCCTGCCGGGTACACTATCTGCTGACTTGGAGGCAGCAGATGCCGGAAAGCTGAGTAGTCTGGAGGACTTGCACAGAATCAGGAAGATTGCAGTGGATAGGGCCGAGTGGCGAGCTCTGTGTCAACGGGTGACAGAAAAGGATCTGTAAGAGACGGATGACACTGCAATATTCTTCTCAACGTACAAGTACAATCATACATGTAACATTGTTTGTTTGGATGGTGCCTTTGTTGCTGATCCAACACACCATCACACCACCACACCACCACACCACCACACCATCACTCAATGCTCTCTACTGCATTGTTCACCCACCACTGACTTTATACTTCTGCGGCTCCTTTGCCCCTTTTCTTTTGATTCGTGCTGTTTTGGTTCTGCTACAGTGATCGTTTGATTTTTTCCCACAGCGTATCATTTGTTATCCTCCTGCCTTCGTTGTCCAGCACAAGCGAAGAGGTGGACCTATCGGTCGACTTCAACGCGAAAATGCACGTAATAATAATAATAATAATTCTAATAACCTACGTGTGTTTAAATAACCTACGTGGAGATAATAATTTTAATATAGCTATGAATAGGATGAAGGCCGCAAACATCACGCAACTACGTTACTTGTTTGACAGGTACTGTGTATTTTATAACAAAAATATTATTGAAAACCCAGAATCGATTTTCTCGTTCCTATCATCAGTGGGAAATAGAAAGGTGTTAAAAATAACATCAAGATACAAGTGCAATAAAACCACTAGAGAAAATGCAAAAAAGGTAACAAGATTACATAACCAAAGGCGAGAAGGCACTGAACGAAGTGTCAACCTACGAATACAACTTCAGTGCAACAACGTGCTCTTTCTGCTTACACAAAACAGGCTTATGAATACGTATACAAACTGCCTCAAAGACTTTCAACTGAAGAGGAATTGGATGACGAAACGGTTGGTGAGGAGACAGAGGACGAGGCAGATGTTGGTGGTGATGATGATCGTGAGGATGACGAGCGGAACGAGGAAGGGGACGATGAGATGGACGAGGAGGAGTCGGGTGGGAAGGAGCGAGATGAGGTGGATGAATGTGTTGATCGTAAGAAGTCAGCTGTGTATCTACACTTGTTATCTCGTCCTGACTGTCTTGGTGTGTATGATGACTCTCATTTTTCTGTACTGTGTCGTGCGCGTTATGTCCAACAGTTGAAAGTCCTTGAGGCAGTTTGTATACGTATTCATAAGCCTGTTTTGTGTAAGCAGAAAGAGCACGTTGTTGCACTGAAGTTGTATTCGTAGGTTGACACTTCGTTCAGTGCCTTCTCGCCTTTGGTTATGTAATCTTTTTACCTTTTTTGCGTTTCCTCTAGTGGTTTTATTGCACTTGTATCTTGATGTTATTTCTAACACCTTTCTATTTACAGTACTTAACTTCAGTTTCTTTGGTTGTATCCTTAGTTCCGTATTTCCCACTGATGATAGGAACGAGAAAATCGATTCTGGGTTTTCAATAATATTTTTTGTTATAAAATACACAGTAATACATGTCAAACAAGTAACGTAGTTGCGTGATGTTTGCGGCCTTCATCCTATTCATAGCTATAATAATAATAATAATAATTCTTTGCAATTATTTGGGGACACACATATATCTTTCATTGCTAATCAATACTTCACTTCATTAATGTCACTACCAGCTGCACTATGACGTCCGTCGCACCAGGCACTTACAGTGTCGATGATGGCTGTGACCATAGGTTAAAATATTTGTAGAGCTTCTCCTTTGCGATAGCACTGATGATATTGTTTATAGCAGCAAGATGAGGAAAACAAGCCATAGTTACAAAGATCGTGTGCATGTGCTGACCAGGGAGTCGTAAAATACCGGTATTTTACGACTCCCTGGTGCTGACCTATCTTTCACTATTGTAGTACCTCACCACGCTAATACTACAGTAGTATTCAGGTACAAGAAAGTTGAGGAAGCCATTTAATGGCTGGGATTGTATATTATACACTATTCAGCCATAGCGGGCCTGCATCAAAGCTGCAATGGAGAGCAGGCACATGGCGAATCGATTATGTCGTTGTAGAGTGCTACAAGGTGGTGGAGATTGTGGGAAATGTTGTGCCGGATTCAGTGGCAGATCGAACATGTGTAGCCTTTCTTCCTTTCTGACCCAAACCAAGAGCATTATAGCCCTTGTTGAAGCCTAATATTATAACTCAGCATTATGTGGTAGTTTTTGGAGCATCATGGTTAGCATTATACAAACATTTTCGGAGCATTACCCGCTGGACCCTAGTACTGATGTGTTGCCAGAGAATCGCGCTATTCCTCTACCCAGGCTACAATGTATGCTCTATACTCTCAACACCTTTTTCCTCTTATAATCACGCTGATTTTTTCACCCCCTTTTCCTGGCGCTACTGAAATGTTGTACCTCCATCACCTCTGCCCTCTTTTCTCAAGACCCTATCTATTCTAGCGATTGTTAGTCTTGGTCATAATGTTGTCTGATGAGCGCTTTCACACGAAACTCGGAGTACCAGCGGAAAGAGATTTGTTTGCTTCATTGTGTTGTGTTGTGTTTATTTTAATTCGCAAACCAAACGGGCAGATCTGCCCAATGAAAAGGTGGCGAATGCAGATAGAAAGCAGTAACAAACGAAAATGGGGAGGGATGTAATAAGGATAGAGGTGGAGAAAAACTAAGCCAGCTGATCATCAAACAGGACGTTTGGTACTCTAGGTACTAAGGGTGTGCGGGATCATGCTGGCGCGGAACTGGCGGAGCGTCGAGATGGCACGATATCGCTGGGTAAGGTGTTCCACAGCTGGGCGCCCCAGAACGCCGCGAGGCAACCATTGTAGACAGTTGTCTAAAGTCCTGACCTAAGAGGCTAAGAGGCTAAGTCCTTTGCTTTCCTCACAGTTTACATAATTGATCGTGTGCTGGGGCTGCCGAGGCTGCCTGTTGGGTTGCTGTGCAGTATTTGTATTTGTATTACCAAGAGTACATAACCCCCACTCTTAGCAGACTCAGACTCAGCGGAGGACGTTCAGGTTGGTTGTAACTCTGAGTTTCATGCCGCTAGGCAATCATCAGACAACTGATACTCGGGTCTACCCAACAGTATGCTTATAAACACATAGGGCCACAAGCATAAACAAATTTAGCGCTAAATCTGGTGTGAGGTATGGGGAGAAAGCTGGCGCGGGCCAAGGCGCGACAGTGGAAGTGCCAGGAGGGTGGCGGGCAACAGGCAGGTGTGAGCATGAAAGCGCGGAAAGAGGCGATGGGGAGGCAGTGTACGGCAGATGGGTGGAGGTGCCAGGAGGGTGGCGGGCAATGGGCCAGTGAGATCGCTACAAGTAGGGAGTCATTTGGTGAAGGGCAGGCGTGAGCAGAATGGCAGTACAGTACTTGGTCAGTTCATTTGATAGGTGTGAAGTTTGCGAGGCGGAACTTATTCTCATGCCTGCATTTCGAGACCATCTCAGACCGCTTGTTGAGTAGGAGCTTCTTGGGTGTAGTCAGGATGTGGAATTTTTCCGCGGTACAAAGATTGCATTTTTTTGACTCACATCTGTATGATCGGCTCTTCTCCCGCACCTTCCATTTAATGGTCAACGGCTTTCCCTCGCTCTTCAGCTCCCATACGTGTTTTGCGAGCTCAGTGCTGTTTTTGTATTTTTCATGACGCATGGAGGTCAGGTGGTTGGCGTGACGGGCTTTGAAAGGTGTCTCTGATAGGCCGATGTAAATCTTGCTGGTAGATTCTGCAGTGGCCTCAAACACAATCTCCTTCGCCTGGCACTCTCCGCGCAGCGGGCAGGATTCCTTGATTCCACAGTTGCATGCCTTGGTTTGTTCTGGCTCTCGCAGGTTGATTTAACCCCCACTCTTTGTATTACTGGCCCTGTCCTCTGGACATAGAACACTGTAAGCAGTCTAGGGACTTAGCCTCTTACTCTTAGGTCAGGACCGTTTTAGACAACTGTCTACAGTACAGGCAGGTAGTCATTGTCTGTTGCTCGGATAGACCCATAGTAGAATGTGGCAAATATTTTATTATAATGCCGGCACTATCCGCTGGACCCTAGGACTCTCGAAGCAGGGCACCATTGTTTTTGATCCTAGAGTACGAGTACCCGCGACTCCCCGGCCGGGTTCCCCTCAGGTGTGTGCGGTATTATGACGCAAAGATACGATCATTACGGTCGACCAAGACCCTATGCAGAGCTGGATCAAGCGTTGCCCACTCTGGGGCATCAGTGCTAAAGCCAGTATTAAAAGGTGTCATTACGTGTCTACAATATCACAAAGTCACGTGCCGGCCGGTACAATACATGCACATGCAGTGTTGTATCCGGACCTTAGTTTAATCCCACAACCTGCGATAAAATGATCAGCTGTAGCACCTACTCCACTTTTATGTTCATGTATCTATGTCATTCGGATCTTCCCAAGTTGTACATTGTACTGTTGAGATACCGAATTCAAATAAATCAATACCATACTACCATACCATCCCATAGCTTTAGCCGATTGTTGCCAAAAACCTGGAATTTCCCGACATTATCCACTATGAAACCGGTTATGCCGCTCAAACCTAACACAATGCTCATCTTATTCCTTTCTAATGCTCCATAATGCTCTAGTGCTCGGATAGTCTCATAATGCCGAATACAATGCAGGCATTATCCGCTGGACCCTATTCACAGCAGGAAGGGTGGTTGTACATGTACGAGTTTGCTGTCGCTGCACTCCTGCTATTTCTGCTCCTATATTTTTGGTGGTTTTTGCACAAGAATTCTCCAATTTCAGGTTGCGATATTAGCAACTTTGAGCTTTTTCTGAACATATGGATGCGATTTCAGCAACTAGCACTTGTTTTGGCACGGTTGCGAAAAGCATACATGTAAGTGGTGAAAAATTATGGCATCTCTTAGACAGTTTGGGAAAGGGGCCAAGCCCAAGGGCTAACTGTGATTACACAGTGAGTGCGTTCGATTACACGCGCGAATCGATTCATGAATCGATTCGCATCACCCCATGTGAATAGAGTGAATGGATTCCGAATCGATTCCAGGGCTCATGACATGAAAATCGAACGACTTGAATGCACTTGAATCAATTCATGAATCGATTCCAGTGTGTAATCGAACGCACTCAGTGTGCGTGGCAAGTATCCACTCTGACTAGTAGTACTAATCATTAAAACTGCCTGTTTACCAGCACAATCACTAGAACGTAGAACTTGAAGTGTTTCGAACACGGGGGTACCAACAGGCTCCACTCCACTGCAGCCTAGCCTATCAGCGACGGTTACGTCAACGTCAACGCGCTTTGTGTAGTGATAGCGGGTTTTATAGTGGGGGTGACTGATGATGAGAATTACTAGAAGTGGTTAGAATAGCCATCCTGCCAGCTTCTCGATTATTGCGGTTGAACAGTGACATCAGGTGGAGGTGACCTTAACTTCACAGTTCGCTCCCGGTACGCGGTAAGTATGTGCATACACGTACTTGTAGGTGTGTGGTTGAGCGGTGGGGTGCGTGAGGGCGATCGCCCTCACGCACCCCACCGCTCAACCACGGCCACATTAGAAAATTTAGCACTACTCGTACCGCTGGTGCTTGCACCTGCGAAATCTCGCTGGCTCCAATACTAGCCTGCTGATGTTACCACCTACCTACCTTACTGGCGAACGACCCAGTACTAAAGCCGTAGCATAATGCTCTTCTTGTGTAAAGTTTATTTCGTAGTAGCAGTAGCCAGTACTGCAGTAACGTTAGTAGAATTTATTATTCTCCGCTCCGATGAGATGACACTCAAGTAATTAGTTGGTTCAGTGCAGTGTGTTGATGGTTGGGTTGCTTAGCTAGACCCGGGTGAAGTATTACTACTAGTAGTATTACTAGTAGTAGTGCATGTTCTTCCAGCGGTTTGGACGACACAGGACTCCGAACAGATAGCAGAATGCAGCAGTCAAGGCAACAGGGCAGAGGTAAGCAGTGGCAGTCATGGTAGCGGGCGATTTCTTTCCGGTTCCGCTTTGGAGTTTGGCTTGTCAAAGTCCAACCTGTAAACAGATGGAATAGGTGCGATTGAAAAATTATGACACTCCCTCCCTGCATTGTGACTTTGGCGAGTTTGGGATCAATATACAAGGGAGGTTCTGCTCTACGTTTTGGGAACGCGACGCAAAGAATCACGCGAACTTTCTTCGCGTTCCCGTAACGTAAAGAAATGCTGTTCTGCTCTACGTTTCACCTAGAGAAGTCACGTGGAATGTGTACTGGGAATTTCCCCTTCCATATTTGGCAGTTTTCTGCATGCAGTTGGTCGATACCCAGCAAATCCGTACGCATTTTCTCTGCGTGTGCCACAACGTAGAGAACCCCATCTCTGCGTAGAAATCTGGAGCCAAAACACACGAAGCCGTAGACTCTAACCCAGACACCTGCTCTCTACGTGATTTCTCTACGTTTCACGTATAGCAGAACCTCCCTACAGTGCTGGCAACTGAAATCCGACCTCCCTAGCGGTACGCTAGCCGCGTTAGCGATTCGTACGAGACGCTAGGGGGTCGGATTTCAGTTGCCAGCACTGTACCTGGCTGTAGACGTGTATGTTGCTTTGCCATTTCCGCATGAAAACCAGCTTAGGCCACACTGAAGAAGGTCTGTGGTTCGACTCACCCGACCGACCGTACAATTTCAGCCCGACCGTAACTTTTTTTCGGCGGGCTGTCGTGTGACTGACGTACGTGGACTGAACACGTCCACGTCTACGTGCTGTGCAGCGTGAGTCTGCGGACGCAGGCGGCTCCTTTTGGACTTGACTTGTAGTTGTACTGCAGTGCATGCAGTGCAGTGAGTGGTACGACTGCTGCGTGTCAAAAGGCAGTACAGTGTATTTACATGTACTAAAAATATATATTAAAAAAAAAGAAAATCCGCCCGCCCGCCCGTAAAAAAAATGTCCATGTTAGTCGAACCACACACCTTCTTTAGTTTGGCCTTAGGCCAAACTAAAGAAGGTGTGTGGTTCGACTCACCCGACCGACCGTACAATTTCAGCCCGACCGTAACTTTTTTTCGGCGGGCTGTCGTGTGACTGACGTACGTGGACTGAACACGTCCACGTCTACGTGCTGTGCGGCGTGAGTCTGCGGACGCAGGCGGCTCCTTTTGGACTTGACTTGTAGTTGTACTGCAGTGCAGTGCAGTGAGTGGTACGACTGCTGCCTTGTGCTGGTAGTAGAGTCTACTCGATACGCGTATACAGTGTATTTACATGTACTAAAAAATATATTAAAAAAAAAATCCGCCCGCCCGCCCGTAAAAAAAATGTCCATGTTAGTCGAACCACACACCTTCTTTAGTTTGGCCTTATTATTATTATTTAAGCTCAGCACGTGGTGGTGGCCACACGATTCGCACGCTTCGCGTGCTCAGTGCTTCTGTGGCTGCTTCCGCTAGCTACACGATTCGCACGCTTCGCGTGCTCAGTGCTTCTGCGGCCGCTAGCTACACTGTACATGTTCGCACCCTTCGCGTGCTCAGTCAGGGCAGCGCTGCTCCGCAGCATGGCCCGAGCGTGACACACAGACAAACACACGTCACAGGTGCCTCTTCTTTATAAGTAAAGATGCATGCATATGCGCACATGAAAACGGTCAATGCGAAAGGCATGAATCAGGGAGTAGTAAAATACCGGTATTTTTCTACTCCCTTGCCTGAATAATAAAAATAATTATACATGTGTGAACCTGTGACGTACATACATGTATGTGTGACCCTATCTTTGGAAATAAAAAAATTGTGGGAAATAAAATAAAAAATCGCTCGCTCGCACCGATTTTCACAGGCTCATGACCTGAGAATCAACTTTATTTTTTACCATGGCCTAATGCTCCACCCTTGTGTAAGTAAGAAACTAACTATTACTTAGTTGTGGTGTTGAGCACGCTACCGTGTAGGCAATCTAGCTGGGAACTCTCGCTTATTAAATTAGGGATCTCAGCGCGTGAACTGCGCAGCCAGTCTGCGCAGGTAAGATTTCGATCCCAAACGCGTCCAGTACCAGTGAAGAAACCGTGGAAAAGAACATTTTTTCGAAATAAATCAAGTTGAAGAAGACAGTGGAAATGGCTGAATGTTGCGTCCAGGAAAGCACGTTCTACGGCCATCTCCAAGCTACCTATATGTATCTCCCAGACACTCTCTCAGAGGAACTATGGAGGGTCAAAGAGCACAATATTTCACTCTTGGACGCAGCGTGAACACCTCTTCTACTGAGCGCGATGTCTTCTCTCTGAGTGATAATGGCGGCGATGTTCACGATGGCTGATGCACTGAAAATCGAAGTAGTACTAGTAGGACAATCTAACCGGAGAAAACGTCTGAATTTTGACTGCATCCTCTCTGAAGTGGGTTCTTGCCACATGGCAAATTATAGGAAAATCGACTGGGGCGATAATATATTCACAATGTACCATTGCTAGCGAAATGGGAAATTGCGCATCGGAGCTTCAAGCTTCGATATAACAGTATATCGCCTTGGCCACGCTGTCCTTCGCCGGCTTCGGCGGGAATCACAAAGTATGCTCGAACGACGATGAAGATGACGATTCCGCTAGTGTCCACCGCTTCCGCTAGTGTCGAAAATCGACCGTCGCCATTTTCTGCTGTGTCCGCGATAGGCCCAGACAGATCCTGCCGGCAATTCTTTCGGCAAAATATGATCGAAACAAACAAACAAACAACAACAAACCCGTGTTGAGAAACCGACCCTGCAATTTTTATGAAACATTGTACGGGATTGTACGGGAAGTGGATAAAATACACGTTTTTCGGGAGCAAAATGGAGCAAAATATCGAGTTTCTTGTGCCAGGCTCGGCAAAATATCGAAGATTTCGCAGCAACATTTTGCGGCAATATCGATAGCGGTGAGCGTAGCAGAATCTGTCTGGGCCTAGTCCGCGAGCTGCATACGACTCCCTGGTTTCGCTTGACTATACTGAAGTGGTTCCGCGCTGACATGACCCTGGTGCGTAGATCTACACTTGCTTCGCTCACTGTACATCGTTTACGTTGCTGCTCATCATACATGTATCTACTGCCATGTATTCCTTATGGATAGAGCTTTCCAGGAAGCCCAGGATTGTGAGAATCAACGGTAGAAATGATGGATTCTAATATTCAACAAAATGTCGGAGAAATATGTGCAAGAACGGCGATTTCGCATTTTCTGAAGGCAGCTCTAGTACTTCAAATAGAATCAAGGACAACAATGGCTGGAGTGTCTAGAGCTGACTCGGAGCTGATATTGAAGCGTGAACGAAAGGAGAGAGGAGAGAAAGTGAGTGGAAGATTAGCGATGGCGATTCTAGCGGCAATGTCCCCCTAGTAAGTTTCATGACGCCAAGAATTGCCTGTTTGCGTTAGAGGCATCATGGCCGCCATCATGGCCGCCATTGCATTACGAACCTAATTCAAGGGCGCGCCGTGTGCCCCAGAGTTCTGGAGTGGCGACATTAGAGAGGTTCTGCTATACGTGAAATAGGCCCTGGCGGATAATGCTCGGAAAAAGTAGCGTTTTCTGCTCGACATTCTACTCGTATTCTGCCCCATTCTGCTCGTATTCTGCCCCATTCTGCCCGAGAACACAAGGAAACATCCAAGTGCGAGACAAACTCACACTTGGATGCACAGAAGGCTTAGCCTGAACTGTCCGCGCGGCACGGAAGCAAGGTCAAAGGGTTCGCACCAGGGAGTAGTTAAATACCGGCATTTTACTACTCCCTGGTTCGTACTCGTAGCAAAGTGCATGTGCAGAGGGCAACATAGAGCATGCAGTTTGATAGTATCCGCATGCGCACAGTATGCCGGCGTCTTGACTCGCTCTTTTTCGGCAAGACTTTCTGAAGACTAGTGAAGTAAGATCCCTTTCGCGAAGTGGACGACGCAAAATCATCAAATGCGGCCATAATGTATCAAAAAGGGACCATGTACCAGTAGGCCTGGGCGGATAATGCTAGCATTATAAGTAGCATTATAAGTAGCATTATAAGTAGCATTATAAGTAGCATTATACCGTAGTGTGCGATTTGCAATGATCATTATGCTAGCATTATAACACTACATTCCACAAAAGTGGCATTATACTCAAAATGTGGAAGTTTTTGCCACTGCAAGTCACATGTGTGGGGTGGGAGCAGCTGATGTTTGCAAAGTCATGTAGCATTAGTGCATTGGCTATGGCGGAAGGGCGGCCAAACTAAGCCATTTTCCATGCATACTATTGCGGTTTTTCTGGCATTATGGAGCAATAGCAGCATACAATTAGCATTATGACCATGATTTTCTAGCATTTTCTATGCCGTCTACGTAGAACTACGAAACGTGCACAATACTGCCCAAACCAAGCCATTTTCCATACTTACTACTGGTGAATTGCTGGCATTACAGAGGAACAGCAGCTTTATAAGGGTTGGTTCACATAAGCAAAATCGGCGCCGCAAGACATCGGCGGTGAGCCAGCTCCCGATCCGTTGCGCCTACGGTTCGAGTACCAAATCTACTACAAAGTAGTACAGAATGTGCCAAAATGCTACGACAGGTTTGCCAATTGAAGCTTGAATTCTTTGTTTCTTCAGTAGTTCAAGGTCTTTCGGTGATGGCCACTCGGTGCTACCTTTTACTGGAGATCATGAAACTACTTCTACACATTTTATTGCAGTCTAGTAAGCAATGATGTTGAAATTATGCTTGCAAACGTTGATGAAGTCACAAGAACTTGCCAATGTATCCATTATAATTTTATATTTGTTTCAATTGTATTTGTCTCATAAGTTGCACAATGGTCAAGCAGATCATCCGAGAAGGACGGGCTGGTATCCTGACATATTTGCCGCCTTGAAGCGACTACAAGAATGGCGAACGGATCTCCTCTCTAGCTTCAATTTAGGAAAATTTAGGACAAGTATTGGTTTGATATTTTGACAAAGTCTGGCTCCCGGCAACCGGCGATCACCGGCGCGAACGGTTCACAAACCACTTTTGGTCAAAATCGTATGGGATCGGCGCCGGGGCAGATCGCAAGAGTTGGGCACTGTCCAACTTTACCGGCGGTCCCTTGCGATATTTTACCGTATGATTTTGTTACGACTGCACTGGTTCACACAATCGCAATGCGCCGGGAGAGGTTGCAAGAAGCCCACCGCCGGTGACTCCCGGCGCGTACCGGCGATATGTGAACCAACCCTAAGTAGCATTATGATACAGTTTTTTCCGGCATTGCCATTAGCATTATCCCGCAAAATAACTAGCATTATCCGCCCAGGCCTACATGTATGTACCAGCGAGTTCACATGCTTGTGAACACAATTTGGGAGCCGTAAATAGGCGCCAGCAGCCCTTTCTGCAATTCGTAGCTGGTTCTGCAGACTATCTGCTCCTTGTTCTGCACGTTTCTGACGAATTTTGCTCCTTTTCTAAAATAACCCACATCCTGCTCGAAATTCTGCCGACATTATCCGCCAGGGCCTAACAGGAAACGTAGAGAAATCACGTAGAGAGCAGATGTCTGGGTTAGAGTCTACAGCTTCGCGTTTTTTGGGTCCAGGTTTCTACGCATAGACGACGTTGTCTTACCTATGTATGTTGTGGCACACGTAGAGAAAATGTGTGCGGATCTGCTGGGTATCCATCAAATGCAGGCAGAAAACTGCCAAATATGGAAGGGGAAAGTCACTCCCAGTACATATTTCCCATGTGATTTTCTCTACGTGAACGTAGAGCAGAATAGGTTATTTTTATGTTACAGGAACGCGAAGAGAGTTCCCGGGATTCTTCGCTTCGCGCGTGACGTCGAGCAGAACATCTCTAATACCATAGAATCCTGCGGATAAGCCCATGGGCTTATCTGTTTCAAAAGGACATTTCGGTAGGCTTATACAAGAACATGGGCTTATACGCTGACACCAAAATTGTGCTATTGAAAAGTACCAAGGAAGTGAGAAGTGCATTGCTGAAAACCACTACACTGTGCAGACAAAAACAAACGATGATTGTGCTGAAATATACCAAAAAAACCTACATGTACCGGTACTACATATTGTGTTGAAATGTGCCAAAAAAACCCTACATGTACTATCAAGAGTACTCTTATGTACTCTTGGTACTATGTACATGGCACGACCAAGAGTCCATAATTATTATTTGTGGACTCTTGGTACGACCTAGGCTCATGGGCTTGTACGACGAAGCTTCGTCATGCTCGAACTTTGCCTGGGCGTATGCGCGAGCATGGGCTTATCCGGGTAATTCTACGGTAGTCATGACATCATGTTCTGTGTCGGTCTTGTTGGTCAGTTCGGAACAGTTTCCTGTTCAAATCACCTGTCAGCCTGTTGTGCTCTTTTCCCAAAACATAAACTGTTTAGTAGTTTGGCAAGCCACAAACGAACTAGGAGATCCTAGTAGGCTAGAATCCGGAGTGTGTGTGCGCGTGTGTGTGTGTGTGTGTGTGTGTGTGTGTGTGTGTGTGTGTGTGTGTGTACTGGTGTAGGTATGTGCGTTTGTGTGTGTGTGTGTGTGTGTGTGTGTGTGTGTGCCTTGCAAGCTGTTGAATGGTGTAATCCCAGCACAAGTTGCTATGTCTAACATAGCTGTTCGCTATCATCGCTTCCGATGGGCATGTCTGAGGTCTGAGGTGTGTGCGTGTGTGTGTGTCCCGACGATTATGGTCACACACGTCTTTCTTCTCTTTCTCAGACTCTTCCTGACTTTTCTTTCATTCCCCTGGGTGGTTACGGTTACCAACAGCCAGTGAATGCCGGAGTATGTGGTGTGATGTGTGTGCGGGAAAAAGAAAAAGAAAGAAAAAATGAATGAAAAGACCAAAAATAGAGATTCACTGGCCAGAAAAAGTCACTTCAAAATAGCTGTATGGTGTAGACCAGGCTGAATAGTGACGTTCAATTCTTCAGCCTTGCAAGCTGTTGAATGGTGCAATCCCAGCACAAGTTGCTATGGCTTCTGGCGTAGCATTGTTATCATCGCCTCCGGCGATGGGCATCAAAGGTCAGGTCAGGTGTGTGACAGTGTGTGATCAAGAAAAAGAATGAAAAAAATGAAAAATAGGGATTCGCTGGCCAGAAAAAGCCACTTCAATCAGCTGCGTGGTGGATACCAGGCTAAAATCAGTGGCGGTCAATTCATTAGCCTTGCAAGCTGTTGAATGGTGTAATCCCAGCACAAGTGGCCATGTCTAACATAGCTGTTCGCTATCATCGCTTCCGCGGTGGGCAGGTCTGAGTCTGAGTGATGCAGTAGAGTTGTGTTCGGTGAAATCCGACCCGGAGTGCACATTTTAGCGCGCTCATTTTGCACGGCCCTCGACGCCCTGGAAGTGGCACGAATGCGGCTGGACGTACACATGTACACATACAATGATGTAATCAAAACTGGTACAGGGCGCCAGCCGCCAGTTTTGAACTTTGGGTCGGATTTCACCGAGCGCACCTGTTGTAGTGCAGTGCGTATCGGTAACCATGGTAACAGCGCTGTCGTCTTTAGATGACGAACTACCTCTTCGCTCTCGCCATGCCACACACCAAAATATTCGACGGGTCCGCGTACCGGGCAGGTCAAGAACAAGGAGTCGTACAACTCCCTGGTCAAGAACCACCTTTCCGCTTCCGTGGGACGCCACCACCCCAGGATCAGGCGTCAGATGCGGCTCCTAAACGGTGGGGGGGGTAGATCAGATCCACCAACCACACCAAAAGGACTAGTAAAATGGTTGTTCTCTGTTTCGAGAGAGAGAGAGAGAGAGAGAGAGAGAGAGAGAGAGAGAGAGAGAGAGAGAGAGAGAGAGAGAGAGAGAGAGAGAGAGAGAGAGAGAGAGAGAGAGAGAGAGAGAGAGAGAGAGAGAGATTTTCTGTACCACACTTCAAGAGTCGAGGAGAGAACTCCCGACTAACAACTAACACTGACAACTAGCAACTAACGACTGACACTGAGACAAGACGAGACCACAGAATGTTATTATAGTGAGGTTGTGAACGTTCCGCCAAAGAAATACAAGTACAAAGTCAAGTAAGCCAATTTAGTAACCGAACGTTTTCGTTCCCTTCTCATCATGGTCAAGTACAGGGAATAATGGAAAAATGTCAAAATACAGCAACTTATAGAGCTACAGCAAAAGCATAGGTTGAGAACCTCACGCTTTACATGTGGTTAAAAATAGAATTCAGGAGAACAGGTCAAAAACAGGGTGAAGGTGAAGAAATGACTAAAACATTATGAAAACATCAGTGAAAGTGTCAGTGAATGCTTCTCAGGCCTCACTGATGTTTTCATAATGTTTTAGTCATTTCTTCACCTTCACCCTGTTTTTGACCTGTTCTCCTGAATTTTATTTTTAACCACATGTAAAGCGTGAGGTTCTCAACCTATGCTTTTGCTGTAGCTCTATAAGTTGCTGTATTTGACATTTTTCCATTATTCCCTGTACTCACCCATGATGAGGAGGGAACGAAAACCTTCGGTTACTAAATTGGCTTACAAAGTCAGTCCTAAAAAAACCGGTGTCATATCGTCAATATCTGCCCCCCCCCCCTTAGGCAAGCAGGTATCGACAAATACCTGCCCGCCTATCGCTTCTTAGGGCAAAGAACACGCTAGATATGCCCTGCTAAATGCATGGTGATTGGCTGCTACCATGGTGATGATCATGTGACGTGCCATAATGGGTTGTACGCAACCCGCAACCCTGCAGTTTGGGTTCAACTAATTTCTTGCGATCACTTTGCACTGTTTGGCAACTGAGCCTTTTGGACCATGTCACGTCACATGAAGTTCTGATGATGTGAGGGTGACGTGACGGTGCGCTGCAGTGAGTGAGTGGACGGAGCGAATGCCCCATGGGCCTCTCACGTTGGCACTTGCTGTTTGCTATGCTATGCTGTCTGTCGAATTCACACCAGGATATTACTAGTATCACGTCTTTCCATTATCACCAGTTTGGTTGTTCACGTTGTTTTGCACTTTGATCTGTTGCTTAGCCGGCGTGACGCCGTATGATCAGCCGCAGCAACAGCTACTCCCCCGGCAAGCACTAATCTCCCAGCAACAACCATTCCCCCAGGAATTCATAATCCTCCAGACACAACACCAGCAGCAGCAACTGCCGCTGCAGCAACAGCAACTGCAGCCACAACTACTCCGCCAGCAACAACACCCGCAGCAGCAACTACAGCAACAACTACTCCGCCAGCAACAAGACCCGCAGCCACTGGCAGATCCACAACTAGTCTACCATACACCAGTCTCTACGCACCTGCAGCCGCAGCAGCAGCAGCAGCAGCTGGTCTACCAGCCGCAGCAGCAGCAGCAGCAGCTGGTCTACCAGCCGCAGCAGCAGCAGCAGCTGGTCTACCAGCCACAACAACAGCAGCAACTGGTCTACCAGCCACAGCAGCAGCAGCAACTGGTCTACCAGCCACAACAACAGCAGCAACTGGTCTACCAGCCACAACAACAGCAGCAACTGGTCTACCAGCCACAACAACAGCAGCAACTGGTCTACCAGCCACAACAGCAGCAGCAACTGCACCATCAGCGACTGCAGCAACAGCAAGAGCACCAACAGCAACAGCAACTGCAACTGCAGCAACAGCAACAACCGTGGCAACAACAGCAGAGGCAACAACAACAGCCGCAGCAACATCAGCCGCAGCAGCAACAGCAGCAGGTCGACCAGCCGCAGCAACAACAACAGCAGCCTCAGCAACAACTTTCCAATGATGTTGTCTCTGAGCAACTGGTAGGGGCACAACAGGTAGGAATGCTGGGCAATTCTCACGCACAAAATACGCACACAAGTGGGGTAGTAACCCATCCTATGGGTAGGGGGGGGGGGGGGGTGTTGACATCAACCCGGATCAAGCGGCATCATCACCATTGGCTAGAATGCCTTCATTGGGTGGAGCTGTTGCTATTGCTCTGTTGGTCTGAATCTCCAGTGATTAATGCGTTCCTTCCTGACAGGCTGAGTTACTTTGTAGAGCTGCACTCTAGGCTAGATTGGGCGTATGAGAATATTCGCAAGTCTTTCAACTCGGACCACACGACTATATCCAGAGCAGTGATCCAGGCGCGGGCCCCGGATAGGTTTCTGGGTGCCCGGAACACACCCCTTTTTTCGCTCAAAATGCAGGATTTTGCTTCATTTTTTGAAAAATTTCCCGCGGGGGAGGCCCCGGAACCCCCCCCCCCCCTTGAAGGGCACCGGCGCACGCGCCTGGTGACCTCTTCTCGTCTTTTGGTTGTGTTCTCCTTCCTCTCTGGTCCCTTGTTATACCTCTTTTTGTGTTGTTGTCTCCGAGTCGAGGTCGACTCTCCGCAAAGGGGAGGGCTGTGTTGCGGAATTATGTTGCGAGTATGATTTTCGCATGTTGTTGTATTTGGTTCTTGTCCTGTAGAGTTCTATGTCTGATGTCATAATAATGGTCTAAGTGTACGTGCGAGTATGGTGTGATGTGTGACGTTTATGGTATGTGGTGCATGCAAGAGTACGGGTTGTCAGAGTGTGAGAATCTGCTTCCGTCTGTGTGAGAGTGACTGTCTAGTGAATGCTGTACATGTGCAGTGCTAGTTTGGTCTGGGAATGAGAGTCATGTGTGATTCGTCTGTGGTCTGGTTGTCTTGGTCTTGGTCAGGTGTTCTGTACCTATTGATCCCTGATTGGTCGTCCCGATTTGTCGCCGCTTTATTACTGCTTGTTCTTTGTTTTTCTTGGCCTCTTTCCCGTTGTCTTTTCGTGTGACCTTTGCTTTCCGTTCTCCTCCTGCGCCCTCGTCATTTGTTCTTATAATAATTATAAGAATTGAGACACAACCAAGAGTTGTCGTTGCTGTGTGACGGGGGCCAGGGGGAGAACGACACTATTTCTATATCAACACGTATCAGTCAGTATTACAGTGTGTGTGTCACACCGCCGCGCTTCTCGTTGCAAACGGCAGACGTCTGGTCTGCGAGAGGCGGTAACCAGGGAGTCGTAAAATACCGGTATTTTACGACTCCCTGACGGTAACACTAGACACGCGTAGATGTTGATAGGTGCAGTATCGGTGATTCAATCGCTTTGCTGATCCAACTAGCCAGCGAAATGGTCTACGATCAAAGCTGGTTACTGTTGACCAGTTTAGTCGCGAAGAATTCTCTTTTGTACAGCTTTAAAGTTTTTACACTACTGCTGAAACCACTGTCCAGACATTCACGTCCTTTGGGAATGCTGTGCACTCCACGGAGGCAATGTGGGTATGTTTTACTCTGTGGTGCGTGTGTGCGTGTGTGTGTGTATGTGTGTGTGTGGGTGTATGTGTGTGTGTGTGGGTGTGTGTGTGTGTGTGTGTGTGCGTGTGTGTGTGTGTGTATGAGCAGGATTTGGAAGAGAAGGAAGAGCTACCGCAGCTCACCGAGGAGCAGGAAGGGATTGTGAGCAAAGCGCTTGCCCACTCTGGATCCCAGTCTCAAGTACTCTCCAAGGCCTTCAACATCGATCTGACGCGTGCTCACATCGGCACGCTCTCTGGTTCTAGATGGCTCAACGATGAGGTAATGATGATGTCATCATGTCATTATAATGATGTAATGTCTTGGCTGGAGACTACAGTAAACCTACCCTAGCTGAACGCCCTTGGTGCAGCGGAAACTGTCCTGATATGACAGGGTTCCGCTATGTGTTGCTGTCTATTCATTGTAGACCCTGATCCTATCTTTGTACTCGTGTTCTTGTAATTGGCGATTATGTTGATGTGGCCCATGCTCACCTGTGTGTGTGTGTGTGTGTGTGTGTGTATGTGTGTGTTTGTGTGTGTGTGTTTGTGCATGTGCGTGCGTGTGTGTGTGTGCTGTGCATGTGTGTGTGTGCTCTGCTCTGCAGGTCATCAATTTCTATTTCAAGATGATCGCTGCACGTAACGACGCAGATGAGGTATGTGCTGTTATTGTTGCTGCTCCTGATGCTGCTCCTGATGCTGATGCTGATTTTGCTGCTGCTCTCGTGCTGGCCGGTTGCTGGTTTCATTGCTCTGCTCTTCAGGAGGACTCCCGGTTGCTTCCCTGGATGATTCTGCCCTCTGCTGCTGTTTGGTGGAGCAGTCATCTCATTTTATCCCTCGGGTCACACAGTGGCCATGGTTTGGAGAGGTGGGAAGCGTGTTCGGGATTCTGGCTGCTGGTGGTGCTGACCCCGGTGTTGCCTGTTCAATCTCTACAGCAATGCCCTGCTGTCGGTGTCAGGCAGGTCGTAAATGTATCAGACGTAGCTGTGTTTGCGTGAGGAGACGATGTGTGAACTGCTACCCAGGTAGAGCTTCTCCGTGCCTATGCTTGAATCAGATTGAATCAGATCCAGGTTGCTGCTTCACAGCCGCCTCATGTAGGCAGTAGTGTCACTGGTGGTGCTAATGGCCACTTCGCCAGCCAGCCAGCTCGTGTCCACTTGGAAATATGGAATGACGCTAGTGATGCCTCCGCATCGTCGGGTGATGATGGTGATAGTGATAGTCTCGTTGGTCAGGCGACTTCGGGATACCAACGTATCAGTAGAGCAGGGATGGTATGCAGATGACGATTCAGCCGGAGGTAGGATACCATCACTATGGTCATATTGGAACGATATCAGTCAGATTGGTCCAGGATATGGGTATTTCCCGAATCCCAAGAAAACCGTTCTCTTTGTAAAGCCTAAGCATGAACAGGACGCTCGGCTACAGTTCCAGGACCCTGGCGTCGTTATCACAACTGATGGTAACCGATATCTTGGAGGCGTGATTGGCAGCGAGGATTTTTGTTCTTCCTCTATGGAGCGGCGTGTCCAGAAGTGGGGACGGGTATTGGATACATCGTCTTCTATGGCAACCACACAGCCACAGGCAGCCTATAGCGCATTAACTAAAGGTCTGTCGAGCTCCTGGACCTATCACATACATTGTTTGCCATGTTCTCCAGAGCTCCTGGCGGCGATCGACACCGTGATCGATGAACGTCTGCTTCCGGCCCTACTTGGCGATGGTGTCCGTCCTGATAGTCCTGAGAGAGAGAGAGAGAGAGAGAGAGAGAGAGAGAGAGAGAGAGAGAGAGAGAGAGAGAGAGAGAGAGAGAGAGAGAGAGAGAGAGAGAGAGAGAGAGAGAGAGAGAGAGAGAGAGAGAGAGAGAGAGAGAGAGAGAGAGAGCGAGAGAGAGCGAGAGGAGCGAGAGAGAGAGTGAGAGAGAGAGTGAGAGAGAGCGCGCGGGAGAGAGAGAAAGAGAGTGAGAGAGAGAGTGAGAGAGAGCGTGCGAGAGAGAGAGAGAGAGAGAGAGAGAGAGAGAGAGAGAGAGAGAGAGAGAGAGAGAGAGAGAGTGAGAGAGAGACAGCTGTTGTCATTTCCCGTGCGGTATGGTGGCCTTGCCATTCCCGCTCTGGCGGCTAGTGCACCTGTGAATTTATTGCGTCAAGGGCGGTAACCATGGTGACCAAGCCTCTGTAACCAAACCAGTAGAGATTCACTGGCCGGAAAAAGCCATTACATAGGTGTGCGGTGTAGACCAGGCTGAATAGCGGCGGTACGATGTAATCCCAGCACAAGTTACGATAACTTCAAAAGGTCAAAATGTATTTGTGTGTGTGTGTCTGTGTGTGTGTGTGTGTGTGTGTGTGTGTGAATCTGTGGGTGCACATCCAGTGCATTTGCAGATTTGCATGCTTCTCTTGCGACGGGCTGTAAAAGCCATATATATAACGAAGTGCTAACTCTAACGAGTTAACGAGGAGAAATCTGTCGTTAAAATAGAAATCGTTATACAGAAATCGATACATATACTGTCCTATTGAGCATTGAGAATGAGTGAGAATCGCTACCTTTGGTACACGTAAACTAGTCAATTTTGGGAAATCGTTATATATGCGCCACGTTAGAATAATGGCTTTTACAGTATTGTGCATGTCTGTGCTCTCTTTTCAGGACCTTCCGTCTGTGCACGTCATGTCGTCGTTTTTCTACTCCAAACTCCGGTCCGAGAGCAATGGCAGCAGAGACAGCATCAGGCGATGGACGAGGACGGTACTGCCAAGAGTCGTGTGCGTGTGTGTGTGTGTGTGTGCGTGTGTGTGTGTGTGTGTGTGTGTGTGTGTGTGTGTGTGTGTGTGTGTGTGTGTACGTGTGTGTGTGTGTGTGCATGTGTGTGTACGTGTGTATGTATGTGTGTGTGTGTGTGTGTGTGTGTGTGTGTGTTTGTCATCTTTCCGAGATTCCTTTTGAATTGCTCTCCCCTCTCCCGAGGATACACACATGGCCAGTTCTGGTAGTGAGCAAGTACAAGTGTGACTAGGGACACTGACCTATGCATTGAACTAGTCACTATTGTGTTCATGAAAGTGGCTTTCTTTTGCCTCAGCTGTACGTCTATTTATAAGGGGGTATGGATGTGTGCCAGTTCAAGGACTTGGTGGTCTACACCAGGCTGAATAGTGGCGGTCCAAGTTCTTCAGACTTGCGGGCAGGTGAATGGTGCAATCCCAGCGCGAGTGGTGTGTGCCTGTGTGTGTGTGTGGGGGGGGGGGTATATGTGTCTGTGTGCGTGTGTGTGTGTGTGTGTGTGTGTGTGTGTGTGCCTGTGTGCGGGGGAGGGGAGGGGGAGTGTACACAGGTGTATACGTATATGCTTATAAGGCTATATGCCGTCTATTCTTGCTTCGCCCAACATCGTCACCATCGTTATTTCAATGGT